TAATGCTTTGTCTTAATTGGTTAGCACCAAAATCTCCATCATTTTTGTGAGCACCCTTAGACTTAAACTTTTTCAAATAAAATCAGTTCTTTTGGGGAGAGTTTAAGAGCTTTCTATTCTTATGGACTTCCTCTTTCCATCTATTTTCATGGAAAAAACTGAGTTGCTATTCCAGAGTTGGGGACAGGGATAGTGGCCTGCTTTTCTCAGAGTGAAATTCCTGTTTTATTAGTTGGGAAAAGTGGTAGCTTCTGGTCTTTTTAGATTGTCCATCCTGGCATGCAACCACTGTCCTACAGGTGAGCTGGGGCAAAAGCAGCCAGAGTTTCAATATTCTTTGCTTGCTGTTCTTGGGATAGAGCTTCTATCTTATGAATGAGAGTAGGTAGAAGAAAGAAAACCTGATCTCTTGGCTATATTATTTAATTTAGCTTCTGCCTCTTGGAGTTGAAGAGAATGTGATTAATTCTGGTGGCCTTTCCTTCCTGATATCCCTTAACTGGGAGCTGATAGGTGAGAGAGCTTTGTTTTCTTGATCCCATCCAACCAGGGTGGAGCTTCCATCATGCGAGCTGGGAGTTTAATAAAGAGGGAGAAAGTTGTGGCTGAAGTGCTCTTACTGAGATTTAGTATATTTTTTTGAATAAATATCTCTTACATTTTGTTTGCACTCATTTAAAGTATAAGAGAATGAAGGCAATTATCTGAATTAAGTAGAAAAAATTTAGGAGAAAGGCCTTTGGGGATTAGATTTATGGTCAGAACCATCAAGGGTTTTCCACTATGATTGAATTCTTCTAAAAACTTCATAACTTTGCAGAACGCTTTGACTAAGCAGCCATGGGATACTCCACAAACATTTTTTTTTCCCCAGCAATGTGGACATTGCACTGAAAAAGTCTGACTTAATTATTGCCTCCAGGATGAAATCCATATTTTCAGACAATCTTAGTTTCTTTCTTCATTTACTTTATAGCTTAGGGGTTGTTCTCAATCTTTTAAGCCAGAAACTTTAAATGTATTCGCTGAGGTCAGTTCATCAAATCCTATGAAGTTCAACCCTGGGTCATCTATCAACATTGCTCTGGGTACAGTAGGAGACTCCAATACAGATTATATTATCCGTAGTTGCAAGGAGCCATCGAATTGAGATTTACATAGCCAAAAATACATAATTAAATTCTAGTACAAGGCACTTGGTTAATACCAAGATTTTTTATAGATAGTTGTTTTTGCACCAGGGTCATTAAAGTAGTCAGAGTTGGTGGTATTTACAATTGCACCATGTACGTTGCATTGGCTCCTTCAGTAAAATATCCCATAAGCATGTCCTGCTGACCTCGAGTCTGCCTAACATCTTAGGGCGTCATAGCTCTTCTATTGTCAGGTATCTAAATTTTCTTGATCCCTCTTCTATAACTATAAGGTAACTACATTCCATAATATTCACTTGCATTACAATTGGTTCTCCTTTTCTATTATTTTTTTGATTCTCCTATATGATGATGTGAATGAGATTGCCCAGGAAAGCAGAATTCTATGAATATATATATTAAAACTATGACGAAACTAACATAAATTTTGGAAAAATGTTCTCCTACTCGAACCCCCAAGTTAGTTTATAAATTTTTGGTACTTCTGGTTCTTTTTCTGGCCATCTTCCTGTCAGTTTGGAAGATTTTCTGTGACAACTAGACCTCCATGCATTACCTGTCTCCTCTTTTGACTTTTATGTCATACAAATTTATTAACCCTACAAACCAACCCACAGCTCCATTCATTCAGTAAACAACTAAAGGTTCCCTGTGTGGCAAGCGTTGTGCTAGGTAGTAGGGCTTCAATGTCAGTGAGACAATTTCCTTGATGTTAAAGAAATTTTGTAGGCTCACAAGGGAAACAAATATGAAAACAAAAAATGTAATAATTAGTATTCTATTAAAAAATAAGTATGTGCAAGACAGATAGAAGACCCTAAGGCCAGTCCTCACTTCTGCAGGTCCGTAGAGGGGTCAGGAGTATCTCCACCTCAAGAAGTTATGACTAAACTGAGCCATGCAAACAGATTCTGGAAAGACTGGATTAGACAAGAAGTAATGAAGGAGGGCATTTCAGGCATGAGAAAGGCTCGAAGATAAAAATCCATACAAATAGGCTTAAATTATATTAATGTATTTTTTACTTAACAACTGGGAGGGTGTGAACCCAAGAGAAGACTCTATTTCCTTGATTATAATATTATCTTTTTATTTTCTGTCTGCCTTCTCTAATTCTACTGGCCCCAATCTCCTCGATAACAGGGAACAGAGTCATATTTACCTAACACATTTAATAGGTTTTTAAAAAATGTGTTGAATGAATGAATGCAACAAATCCATTAATCATTATCTACTTTAAGGGCAATTCTTTGCCCTGGAAACTAGTTTTGAGTACACCTCATATAATGATACCATCCCCACTCTCTGGGTTTCCAGCTTTTCTGTAGAAATGTCTACATGTTAGATCTTCAGTGAGAGAAGGACTGGTTCTTGAGGCCAAGCTTGGCTGGCAGTCTCACGAGAAGTGCAGAAGGGCTGCAGAGATTGTAAATATGTGTAGATTGTGGGTTAAGCTTTGGCTTATGATCTTGTGCCTAATTTTAAGAAAAATTACATACCTTGCTATATATGATCATAAGTAGGTAAAAAATGGGTCATTCAAGCATCCACTTTCTCCCTGGTAATCTTCCTTTTTTTTTTTTTTTTTTAATGTATCACCAATATCTTCTAACACATAGTGGCAAGGTACCAGTTTGTCATTTCCTGATATTCTTGGTCTCTGTCTTCTCCATGGGTTTTCATAGGCTCGTTTTGAGAGATGGGTGAGGGAAAGCCAAATGCACCCTTTACTGCCTGGTCTAGTCAGTCTCCACAGTATACCACTCAAGGGTGTAAAGGTGTTTATGAATTTTTTCTTTTTTTTAATGAGGGGAAAACTCAAAACATCTTAACTTTAAATCTTCAACAATGGCATACTCAGTGAATGCAGCCTCAGTGTTACCCAGTTGTCCTGCCCTAAGGTTAATCCCTCACCAGGAGAGAACCTTTAGGAGAGCTCCTCTTTTCTCCATAGGATCCATTTTCTCTCACTGATGCTATTCCTTAACCCCTAGCAGTACATTTCCTCACATCTCACTCATTAACTGAAATAAACCAGTGGGGGGGCATTCTAAGATTTAATATTCTAAAGTTAAGATAATATATTGCAGTAGGTGGGGCTTTGTAACTCCAAATCATGCAGAATCCCTTTTGAGGTCTTTCTTTTCTCCTCCTCCCCTGAACTACAGGCCGGCTTCTTGGAAATACAAGCG